GATAACAGTATGATTGCATACAGTAGATTGGGTTTGATATTTTCACATAAACCCTGGCCCAGGGCCCATTTCCCATCATTTGCCACCCGGAACTGTCGGACTGCCCATGCCTGCCCCGCCGAAATTCAAAACTGTAGCCACCAGGCAAACAGTTTGAGCACTTGCAAGGAAAAGGGAAAACCAGTGAGGAAAAACATATCTTGGATTGCTGTGTTGTAAGTTCTAGGAAGAGTGCTAATCTCTAATAAATCTGTGAAGAACAGTACAATAGCCAGGTTCATGGCAGCAAAGATCCGGCAACTTTTTGGGCTCGGGATCGCATGAAATTCATCTGGTATCTGAGTGGTTGTTTGTCACGTCTGCCAGACTCAGGTGTGTGTTGAGCAACTTCATGTTCTGAGAGTTCTAAAGGGTCAAAGCCTAATAACATGTTATGACTTCGATATTGTGGGTGTCATACAAACAAGCACCAAGGCAAAGTGTTCATTCCACCAAATGGAGCTGCCAGTCCGAAGCTGTCGTGCGGCTGTCGTCCGGACCACCAACGTCCGCACCAATATTCGTGCCCCAGTCACCAAGCGCTGTATACGTTGAAGTCACCCGGGCTTGCGGAAAGTCACCCGGCGGAAACGCAGCAACACCGAACACTGGTGTATATATATAATGTATTGCCATGTATTGCCCATGCGCACAAGAACCATTAACAAAAACACACAGTTGATGTCGAGATGTGCTTTGGAGGGACAGACCGAGAGAAACGAGAACGCATGGTTGGTGTCAAGAGGATTACATCCCTCCAAACAGGTCTTGAGGGCCATGGCAACACTGGCGCAAGTGCTGCGAGTACCAAGCGAGTCCCAGGTCATCGGTCCCGTTTTCCAAGAAACATAGTTGGAGTTTGGAGTAATCCCACAGCCGCAGCATGGATGTTGAAGAAACCTGTTCTGTTTCCCTGGACATTGCTTTGACCCATCACTTCTACCCCGCATTTACGCAGAAACAAACCAATCACCCAAAGCAGGTGACCTGCAGCTGAGCCACGTAATTCCTGGGTGATCCTGCAATGCTTCGACATCCACCGCGTATCCGACGCACGGATCGGTTGCGTTTGTTTCGTTGGTTTCTCCCCGGTCCTCGGGACAGGTGTAGCTCGCACGCGGCATCAAGCTGGTGCTGCTGTCCGAGATTGACAATGAGTGGGAGTTTTCGGCCAAAAAGTCCTGAGCAGTCACTGTCACTGTCACAGTCACTGTCACAGTCACGTCACAAAAGGGCATATATAACATTGCCGGAACCAGTTGGTGAGAAAACATGCCCAACTATTTTGATCAATCATCACCCATTAACAAGCTGTACCAGGCGCAAAGCCAGGTACCTTTTGTGAGATGATTCAATGAAGGTAACTGTTTGGAAGGGAAGACATGAAAGAGGCTGTAAACACCTGGAAAACCAAACCAACAAACAACAATCATATGTCGTATGAACCATAGGTTTCTACCTGGGCCTTCAAGATCCTTCAAGATCTTCAAGTACCTATGATCAAACGGTTTGATTAGGATCTTTAAAGCCTTTTCTACCATCTTCTGGACTTACTGACTGACACTTGATCTATAGCTCTCAAGAGGAAGCGCTCCTCTGGGCAGGTGCGGCTGGCGCTCACGAAGACCTCCGACACTTCGACATCGCAAGCGTCCTGGACGGACCGGGATGAACCGGGTCGCGGGAAGGGAAGAAACTGGAACATCGGATGTGCGGTCGCTCAGGGTCCTCGATTTTTGAGTGGTTTCTTCACAAAATTCACATTGTCCTTACATGGCTTGCACAAGTTTGTGGTCTTTGCTTTGTAGTTTGCACTACAAGGTTTGAATGCTGCAGGGATCGACTCATGATCGGATCGTTCAAACATAACATGTGCCGAAACTATTTGACCTGCAAACCAGGTCAGTATGATGCGAATTTGATTTGGCCTAGCACCTTCCTCTAGCAATTCAGAGGTGGTTCAACCGGCTGAGCTGTGTGCCAGGATCCGTGACAAGATGCTGTGGAGTTGAAAAATCAGCTCACATCATCACATCATATCACATCCAAATTGAAACAATCCACACAAATTAGATTGTGGAGTTGTTTTTATTGTTTTTTTTTTTTTCTCAAGGAATTGTTGCCCAAAATGTCGATGCAGCAACACATCCCACTAATATCTCAGACGCACTGTGTCTTGGCGGTGAGAGTTCCCTGTAAAACGAACGGAACATAAGGGAACTAAACCTTTGACCTACAAAGAGATGGCGCCAAAACAGCAACAGCAACAGCGGATGCAAAAGAATGGATGCAAGTGGCCTTCCTGATGTAATGATGCGATGTATGAATCGCCCTCAGATTTACCAAGTTCCTCTTGTTGGTAAGAGATGGACTTGGTTTGACAGCATTGTAGAGCAATCTGGCCTATGTCGCCTGCAAGAAGCTCATCTTCAATCTCGTTGAGGTACATGAGTTCCAAATAAAATTGAATTCACGCATGCACTGCAATCAGTGCCTTCGTCTCCAGCACTTGCCTCGAAACAAATGACCTTTTCTCGACAGTCTGGGTGTGTCAATCAGGCCCATTGTCTCGCGTATCTGTGAGCCCGAGCAGGCTGCATTTGTCAATGAGGCATCGCTTTCCCGTGGAGGAACTCAATGTCAAGTGCCTCACAAAAGTCCTTCAGGTGCTCTGACTTGGTGCCATAATTACTGAAACAAATGACAGGGGCAAGTTTTTCTCTCCCACTGTAGTGTTTTGACCTTTCCTATCTTTCCTTTTCCTTTCTTTTTGTTTCACCTCTCGACCTCAAGTCTTCCCCCCTTGGTCTCTCATCTATGTCATCTCTCCCCCTGCGTGTCTCCTCTTGTGGGACAGGCGCGTCAAGCTCGGGAGGCTCCGGCGTCACTGGCGCCGGCACCGTCGGCGCCTCATCCGTCGCCCCGGCGCCCTCGGTCTTAGCACCTCGGCGGCGAAACTCCGGCGCCGGAGCTCCAAGCGGCTGCGATGACCTGGTTGGTGACCTGGTTGGTTGGGATATGGAAAACGACCCCCCTCACAACCAAATGATGTGTTTGGGTGTTGGTAGATCCTGGGTGTTGGCTGGGCCTGCGGAGATCACGGGACCCAAGGTTTGACGAGCTGTTTGGGAACTGGACTCTCTGCCCCAGAGTTCGACCCCTTTTCAACCAAAATCCCAAGGTAAATATGCCAGTCCCATTGGTCGTGTCTGTCTGGGATAGGTCTATCTAGATGCAACAGTGAGGTCTGAGGTGTTGAGCCCAGCGAGACATGGCGACAGGAGGTGAAACAAAGAGGACAAAGCCTTGCAGGCACTGGCACCATGTATTCAAACCATGCATGTATCAATAACATTCTATGACAACTCTGGGGGAGACTCCTATCCAAAAAACAGGCTGAAAGGCCGTGGGTTGGTACAGCGTAGCTTTGATTTCAGGGATCATTATTTATATATATATGTACCGCAATTCAACTGCCTGGCCACGATCTGCTGACTGTATTCAATGTGTATAGACTTGTTAACTGTTACAACTGGCTTTTTAAGAAACGGCAATTTCCACAAGCTTGCCTACAATTGACTACCTCAAAGTCATCACCGCGTTCAGTCACCTGTTCTAGTTCGTCGTTGAATGCAATTGGTTCCTGCAGTTGTTCACTATTCTTTTTTTGGGGGGTAATATCAAATATTTTTTCTGTTCCCTAGGCCTCCTCAGAAAGCGCTTGGGGTTTCACTTGGGTGGGTCTGTGGTTTTCAATCTATTTTTGTCGGAGGTGATTAGACAAACTTCTTTTAAAATCTTTTAAACAAAAAGCACCTCAGGCCACCCTGGTGTTGAAACCAAGGAACTCTTCTTCTTTTTCTTCTTCCTCGGACCACGTGGACAACACCAGGCACAACACTTGGACCGTGGAAAGCAAAAGTGGACAGGCTGCATCCATGGTCCGGGGCCCGGGTCCATCCCGCATATATGAGAGGGTGCAAATCCAAAGTTCAATCCAAAAAAACAGAATCCACACTGCTGGCTAACCACCGAGATCTTTTGTCCTCCTCAAATGTTTGGGGCCCCAAGCTCCAAACTATACAGTCAGCAGTAACTATGACTCATGCTAGGTGATCCACTTGGATGAACTGTGACTCTGCTTCAAACCATCAGTCTTCTGGGATAGGCCACCTTAGTCTGGCATGAAATTAAGATACGATAAGACTTGCTGCGATGTCGCAATTTTTCGGAATATCTTCAGGTTGAGTATTCCATTTGGATCAGTGAAAGGGAGTTGGTGTAGCCGGATCCTGGTGATTGACAATCTTAGGCCGGGCTTAGCAAGTGGGGAAAATGCTGAGCGGAATGCTTTGGGGACCTTTGAGGATTGCCCACTCAAGCAGGCTCACCCTTTTCCTGTTTCACCCTTCACCTGCACAGCCGGTGTGCCAGTTCACCTTGCACCAGCCAATTCGCCCTGCCGGCTCCACTTGTGATGGAAAGGTGTACCACGGATTGACGATCAAACGCATGCGCAACATGTGCTAGTAATATCTAGTATTAAGAAAAAGAAACAGAACAGCTCATTAAGACCACACGGGCAGGTACTTGCCAACCTTCATTCCAAAAACGGCGGCAAAATACGCCGCCAGGTCACGGCGAGTGCTGGATCGGAAAACACAGAGTGGTGGTCTTCAAATGCCCGGCCGGCGCAACAACACGGGTGGCGACTCAGCCGGCTCCGAAAGAAACACAAAAAGGCCTAGAGTAAAACACAGTCTCTTCTCATTTTGGACGATTCTGCGATGCTAACAGCCTGCACAGGTCACTGATACTTCGTACAAGTGAGGGAGAGAAATGCAAGATACGCTACACTGCGAATTGAGCGAACAAAATTATATAAAAGAACAAACCTGGAACACAATCCTTTCACGTTCATCCGTCCGTCCATCCGTTCATCCGTGCGTCCGTCCGTCCATCCCCGTGTCCCCAGCAGCCCACCCTCCAATGCGTTCCACGTGTCTTCTGCCCCAGCAGCAACAGCAGTTCCGCTGCCCCGGCGGCATCCTCGAGGGAGGGACAGATCTTCCGTCTCCGAGATGTTCCGAACATGCTGGAGAAGTGGCCGTTTACCCTCTATCCAACTATCCAATATAATTCAAAATTGCCAATAACTGTCAACCGCATCTTCTCTGGGATCCCATAAGATCCCTATCCAATCCTAGCAGTGGATGGCACCGCCTGGGCGAGTAGAGGACCCCAGTCTTCCGAAATCGGGGCCATGGTCCACCATGGCCATGGTTGGATGGAGGGTCTCCCATGGCAATACCGGCGGAGACTTGGACCACCGGAAAAAAACTCTGATGCATAGAGTCTGGCAACCAAAAACTGGTTATATAGTGGATTCAATTCACTTGAAACATATTTGTCCATGGGTTCAATCATCCCCCACTAAAGGTTGAAAAAAACATAGCTGAAATCACCAACCAGAACAATTTTGATGGAACCCAGGTGATTTCGAAGAGATTGCAGTTGTGTATGTTGCGAAGAGATCCTGGGCTCTTGGAACCAGGCTTTAGAGAAAGCCTACGAATCAGTTTCACGGCTACACTTGTACCCCGCATGTGTACAATTGTGCCGGATTTGGCGCATAGCTGTTGCTCTGCAACTTGGATCATCAGCGCATAATTGCGCAAGTTTGTCAGACATTTATGGACGTACACTACGTTCTCATTCTCAACCCCAGTAGCTGGCAATGGAATGATCACTAACAAATCACCCTTGCAGCGAAAGGTGAGCCTTTTTGAATGAGGACACTAAACAAATCACTCATTTTGGGAGTTGTCATACTTTGATACATCATGATATATCATGATCTGAGATATTGATTTCGTGGGCATCACACTCTGACCCCCCACATGCAATGCAGTCTCTCATCTGTTATCGGTTTGCACCTTCTGATGTGACACGATCCCTAGAGAAAGTCTAAGTCTGCGCTGTTTCAAAGGCCGGTTCGACGTTGGTTTGGATGCGATGTGCGGCGGCATCCCGAATCGGGCACTGGACGGGGCATGTCTGTAGGATCTATGCTTGACTCAGGTGTTGGAAGCAGCGAAGAACGTTTGGGGAGACTCCTGGAGCCACTTCCACTTTCTCTGATAGGGTTTCCCATGTGTTCTTTTGTTTATAGTGTTTCTTTCAAGATCTTTCAAGAACCAAGGAAGGTAACCTGTCAATGTAACAAAGAACCAGGTTTCCATGAGGCAGGTCAGAAACGGAACTCTCATCTCTATGTTCGGTTGGGAACCCTCTGCTTTCGACTGCCCGAGGCGCCAGGACTTCGTCGCGGAACTCCTCCGGTAGCTCCTGGAGAGCTAAGTCACTTGGAGGATAGGGTGGTGAAACGAAACAAAACACACACACACACATCACACGCCTCGATCTTTGGAACTCTATGGGGGAACTTGTGGCTTAAGTGAATTTGACACCATGTGTTGGGCTTGTGCTTTGTGATGCTTTGGTTTTTGGCTTGTGAGACTTCGATCGACTCTATGGCTCTGAAATGCTCTAAATATGACTATGATGGATGTTCTCCTCCAAGCCTTTTCCTCTGTTGTTGATGCTGGAGGCTTTCCATATGTGCTTCGTTGATCTTCGTTGACTACCCTCTTCTATATAGCGCTCAAACTGATTGGTTACATCCCACTGATCACCTGGATGGACTATTTGTCAAAGCTACCGTGAACCCGTGAGCAGTCTTGGCCGCCCTTAAGGGGGAGCTGTACGAAGAATCCACAAGCTGTGTTAGTCGCGCAAGCTAAGCAGGGTGCCCAAGCACTTCTTTTGGAGGATTGGGAATCAGAACTGCGCATGAGTTCTTATCATAGAGTTCTTTGGGCTATTGAGGGTCAGTTCCTTGGGGAGTTTGTCCTTCACGATACCAAGAGCGCTACCTGCAGGGTTCAATTGGAACTGGATTTCTTTTTGAAAATGATGGAAGTTCAGCATTGGAAGTTCCCAAAATGTTTTGTGTTAATCCATCCAGGAATCAAGGAGTTCCCAACTCCAAAGTAGGAGTTTTTCGACCCCAAGTCAATGGATTACTGGCACTGCTGAACTGCTGGATAGTGAAAAAAAAGATCTGGTCGAGCGGTATTCTGGACCGATGCCATACACAGAGAATTTGCAGCATATGCCATGTGACGTGACGTGATTTGCATCTTCCCGGCTTCCTAGCACCCAGCTTCCCCACTGATTGATGCGTGCTGGAATAATCTGGAATGTGGTAGGTTGCCCTGTGAGAACGCCTATAAGAAAATACACATGCCACAACAAATGCACATGAAACCGTGTATTCTTCGTCTTTTTGCAGTACGTCTCCCACCCTGGGAGCCCTCTCCCCGGAACACTCGTCCCCGGACCCCACGATTGGAGGGGGTGGGTGGGACCTTGAGGAGCTCCAGCACGCGCCGGGAGCCGCGCAGCGCCATGGACCAACTCTCCGAGTCGCGGAGGCAGCGGAAGCACAGCAGCACCTGGGAGGCGCACGGGCACAGCAGCTCGGTCGCGGGGGGGAGAGAGGTGATGGAGTTCGGCGAGTGGGTCGGATCGGGTAGGAGGGAGGTTGGAGAGGTGGAGAGTTTTTGGGGTAAAGCGTGTGGAGGATGGTGTGTGTTTTTTTTTTGGGGGGGGGGTTGCGGAGGTGATGTTGAATTGGAGGGGACATGAAAGATTACAAAAGGGTCTTAGTTGTTCTTTTTTGCTGGGAGAGATGCTTTCTCAAGGGTTGTGAACAATTACTGTGTTAAGAGAAATCATGTGTGTCAATATGCACACGTACAGGGAGGCTGGAAAATCGGGGCTTTTGGGATAAAGGTTATTATATTGGTATAATTGGATGGAGGATACCCACCTAAATAAGATACATGGCATGAAACAACCATGCAATTTTGACGCTGAAAAACACCCAAGATTTTCCAGGGGCTGCTGCTTCACTCTGTTTCACTTCTTTGGGTGACAAGGGGCATTGATTGCGTATCATGCAGGATTTTCGGGGGGCTGCCCGTGTTAGTGCTGGCTGCCCGTGGCCGACCGTGTCCAACCGTCTCCCTCTAAGTACATGGCATTCTGTCTTCGTCGCTCTGAGCGCAAACCCAAGGTCAAGAGGAAAAGGAAGGCAGCTTCAATCTGTCGATTTCCTCAGCAATCTGGCGCCCCCCGACTCAAAAGTGGCTTCACTGCTGAGTGGCTTCACTGGGAGCTACACAATATAAATACAAATAAATACAGTATAGGACCCTGGAAGTGAGCAGTTGAGGATTTATGAAGTGACAAGTTGATGGTTCAAGCCTCCATCAAGGTCTATGGTGCATGCAAATGGATCATATTAAATCATACCTCATATCCCATGTCCAACGTTGTCAATCACTTTTCCGCTGATTCTCTTCTGAATTGCTGTGACGAGAGCCTGCAGATCCTCCACAAACCTCTCTAACGCTCTCAGTTGTCCTCGTTGCCTTTGGCGTTGCCGAGGTGTACAGGTGGTGCCCGGGCATCCCGGTGCCATCCACCGGGTGGTGGAATCGGGCCTCTCGCACCGCCTAGCAGCTGGGCCGCCGCACCGAAGATTGGCGCCTCAAGACCTCCGCCAGAGGGGCCGAACTCGTGCGTGGATGAAACTGCAAGTGATGGAAGAGTACAACCTCCTTTCTGGGTCTGTGAAGTGAGGTGAATACCATGTATGCCCGATATGGATGCATTTCTGGGGAAAAAAAACACGACACATTGGAAAAGAAAGGACACGGATATGGTGTCTTTTGTTGATGCGACTTTGGGCGCTTGGGTTGCTGCAGCTGGTGCAGGAGTTCAACCAACTTGATCCAAAGACCTTAGCCCTTGAATTCCAAACAGGCTGTTGGATCGACTGTCGCTGCGGCCGCGACTCGCAAGGTGGAAACAACAAGTCGTCTAGTGCGATGTGTTGTCTACAATACCCAGACACGACCCATGGGACTGCCAGGACGGACTGCCGAGAATCGGCCAGGGGTGGTGCCCGGGGGTGGTGCCTGGGGCGGCAGTCCTATGGCAGTCCCATGGAGCGTTTGGGAGATGTTGAGTGCCGACGGATCACCCTGGACCGATGGAGGCCTTGTGAGGCCTCCCCTATACAGAATTGTCTGGGCGGCACTGGGCACAAGGACGAATGTCGTGTTTTATCATGTTATGGAACCTATTTATAGATCATTGAAACTGACCTGGAATGCTCCGGCATCTTGTACAAAAGTTAGTTTCCTGTCCACCGTGCACTCTCCCATCACCTAGACTGATGTTCCCTTTACAAGGAATGTCTCGAGTCTTCGTTTCCAGGTTTAGTTTCACCTTGCCGAAGTACCCCTCGTGCACCACAGACTTCTTGCATCTTTCTCCGCGCAGGCTTCCAAGCTTGGCAACACAACAGAATTCACGACCCTCCAAGTTTTAGACAACCTATAAATCACATGTCGGGGTATTACAGAGATGGATTCCCAAGGTGTCACATTCGGAAGCGACCGAGTCTGACCCCTCTGTCAGTGGTTCTTGCTCTGTAGAATGCACGATTTGCTGCACAAGGCAGGTTGGACCAAGTCAGTGCTTCATCACCCTGAGCACTCCCCAGCACCCATCGCAGATCGTTGCAACAAGTCGCATCCATTCGTGATGCAATCAACAAAGCCGCGACCTCCGTCTGCTGGAGGCGAGGGATGACGAGATGGACTATACATCCATGTGCCCAGTGGATCCACTAGATTGACTACCTTGAGTCTCCAAAGACCTTCTGTTTTCTGCGTATTGTTTTGGGTCTAATATTTTTGCGTGTTTCTCGAACAACGCGTTTTCAGAGATGAGGAGTCAAAAAGAAAGGTACAAGGTGAATCTTCATCCGGACGCGTCCGGTGCGGACGCTTAAAGACGCCTTTTGGATGCAAAAGACGCGTTCTGGACGCCTTTTGGATGCCTTTGGGACGCCGAAAAAAAGGTCTCAGGACACTGTCTAATAAGGAGAATCTGACAGGCCACAAACAAAAGAGGCACATTTCGTTAAATATGCAAAAAACAACGTGCGTTCTTTCAGAAACCTCTTTGTCTTGGAAAGGCAAATTTAAAAAGGTCATTGGAGACTCAAGGTAGGTACAACATGTAGGTAACCAGTCTCAGTGGTTCCATCAGTGGTTCCAAACACTGACCATTTAAACTTTATACCCCCCCCACACCGAGGCCCCCCTGTTGAAACCTATGTTCAGGCACTAGTAAGGCCTTAGCAGGCTTCAAATCTTGTTTCGGTCCTTTGCTAAGAGCTCGGTCCTTTTCGTCTTTTGCTATGACATCGGTCCTGTTTCGGTCTTTTGTTAAGACCTCGGTCCTGTGTCGGTCTCTTGTTAAGACCTGTGTCCGTCTCTTGTTTAGTCTAAAGCCGTAGATCGTAGACCTAGACCTAGAAACCCTGGTTCTTGAAATAAACACTTGGATCCACTGGGCGGGGTATACAAAAATATACTTGCATGGCCCCTAAGAAACTGATGGTCCTTTACAAACAGCTCAAGCGCATCCTCACAAAATAAGCCACCCTGGGAGACATGACCTCCAAAGCCTGAAACGACGACGACGACAACAACAGCACCACAACAACATCTACTACTACTACTACTACTATTACTACTACTACCACTACTACTACTACTACCACTACTACTACTATTACTACTACTACCACTACTACTACTACTACCACTACTACTACTACTACTACTACTACTACTACTCCTGCTACTACTACTACTACGACTACTACTACTACTACGACTACTACTACTACTACTGCTATATACTACTACTACTGCTGCTGCTACTACTACTACTACTACTACTACTGCTATATACTACTACTGCTGCTGCTGCTGCTCCTACTACTACTACTACTACTACTACTACTACTACTACTACTACTACT